GGGCTGAAAGATCTATCACTTTATCACCTATTCAGGTTGTAAATCGTGTTTTAAAAAAGTAACTAAGTAACTAAGTAATTACTTTTGAAAATAAGTAATCAGTAAAGTAACAAGATTACTTTTTGGGGAAGTAATCAGTAATTAGTTACTGATTACTTTTTTCAAGTAACTTGACCAACACTAGACAGCCGTCAGTGGCTGAAGTAAATAAATAGCATAGACACTAACAAAATAAAAGCATAGAAATAGAAACAACAGGACTTCATGCTAAACTAGTTCAAATGAGTAAGTTTTCTAAACTTTACCAAATAAAAGGTTTGTGGTAAAACGCAAGAAAGGCCTTGACGTTGAGGTAGCTTTAAATGTCTGCACTTTGCCTTAATGCAACCACACAGGTCCTGTTAGTTTGGCAGCTGAGACGTCTCGCAGAGTGATCAAGTGCAGTAAACACCACAGCCGACTTGAGTATTGTCGCTGAACGTGTCCATCCCTCTGCTGACAGCAGAACAGCACGCTACGTCCCATGGATCACCTCAAACTGGTTTCTTGAACATGACACTGAAGTCTCTGTACTAAAATGACCACAGTCACCAGATCCCAACAGAGCATCTCTGGGACGTGGTGGATAAATCTGCAGCAGCTGTGTGTGTTGGTTGTGTGTTATTATCGTGCTGATGTGAAGCAGGATCCTTCAGGAAGGTTTCCTGTGAGCGTGTGCTGTGCTTTCTAATACTGTACATACTGTAAGAGCAGACGTCCAAACACACGCAGCAGACACGAAGCCCCAAAGCAGAGCGAGGATGAGCCACGAATATCAAGGGAGCGCTTGTGCAAACAGATGCAGTGAGGCGCAGCAAACTGTCACAGCAATATGCGAACTGTCGCGCTGCCAAACCTGGCCTGGTGAACTGGCACACATATGCTCGGGCTTGTGATCCAGCACAGCGACGCAGTCCGCACACACAAACACAAAAACACACATAATTACGCAGAGAACTAAAAATAATCTCAGATGCATATTCACTCCACGGGAACACACAGACAAATAAAAAGGACACGCAAATACAACCGAGAACCTTTCTACCATTTTTCTGTATGCAAATGAGCTCCATCCTCCCAGCACTGCAGGCCGCCATGAATATTACTCACTGTTAAATCCAGCCTCCCGCATTTGACTTGGTAATATCAGGTCCCTGCTGGAAAAATAGCTCTGAACACAAAGGGAGATAATTATACACCAGTGCTGGGCTTAGCCAGAGATGAAGGATCCCTGTAACAGACCATGACCTCTGCATGTGCCCGTCTACCTGCAGGTGGGAAACTTAAAATAACACTTTACTCTATACCAGTCAACAGCTTTGTAGTTAGGCTCTACTTATCAAGTTTAGTTTTTAAAAGAGGGAAATAAGTGATAATCTAAACACGGCTCATAACACACGAACAGCTGGCACTGCATCAATGCACCAACGGCTGTCATACAACAGTGGATTGCTCACACATTACATCCATGTTACAACACAACAGGTTTTCTGTTGTCGTGGCGACATCATCATCAGAAAGTCCTTTTATTGCTCAGAGGCTCCTG